AATTGAGGCTATTAAAGCAGTTCTGAAATAAATGGTGCTAAAAAAAGTGCATTCACTTCTGATTTTGTTCAACTTCAAAGGGTTCTCCAGGATGAATCAGTATTTTCTAGATGCTACCTATTGACCATTCCAGGAAGTGGCATAGATTGTTACCCCACTCAGTCAGCCCCTCTTACAGTATAAAGTAACACTAAACTAAGTTAAATCTTAATGCATTTAAATACCCTAATTATTAATAAAAATATCTTATTTGTGTATCACTCGGCTGTCGATCCTCAAATCTCTGAATTGGTGCTGACACTGTCCTTCCTTCTGGAGGGTGGCTATTTTTGTTCCCCATGGTCCCAACTCACTCCTGTGATGGACTACAATCTTATGTTTAGTTTACTAACTTGTATTGAAATTCTATTCCATCACAGGAGTGAGCTTGGAGTGGTGGCTACTTTACAACACACACAGGGACCATGGGGGACAAAAGTAGCCACCCTCCAGAAGGAAGTGTCGTTAAAAATTCAGGATCAACAGCCGAGTGATACACAAATAAGGTCCAGTATTGTTATTACTAAGGGTACTTGAATGCATTTTTAAGATTTTACTTCTGAGTTTGGAATCACTTTAAGTCTCTGATATCATAGTCTCTAACATAGAAATGTTCTCATCTTCAGATGGAGCTGCTGCTGACGCGTCTGCTGTTTGTTATTAAATGGATTAGTCGGTATCAAATGGGAATTGTTTTGTTTATGCTGGAGAACCTTTTTAAGACGCCTTTAAAATCACAATTTCACTAGAATTTGTAACTGTCTACTTTTTTAATATACAGTTTGAATTACCAAAACCTAATGTGTGCTTCCTTTCTTATTTTGTGCTTACTATCCAAGGAAATCAGAGGGTTCATTTGAATGTACAGTAATTGCTTACTATTATTTTGTTTACATACCGTTTTTCACATCTGTTTGGTGAATTCAGATTAACTATTGGTCCAGATTGTTAATTCACTATAATTCCTGTCCCAAGCCCTATGCAGGTATGCTATTCTAAAGGCTGTGGTTGCCTTGTACTGTGATTATCAGTTCCAATGTCAATATCCATTTAAATGTAAAATCAAAACAAAATTCCATTGTTTGTTTCATTGTTGCCCAGGGTGATACATTTATTAAAATCCAGGCTAGTATCCAGTACATGTTCCAATAAAATATTTTTATGTATACAGGTTTTGCATTTTTGTTTACAACCACCTAAAATAAAAGGTAACCTTACCCAGTGAATGTCTTTTTGTATTTCTTGTGCATTACATATACACACACATGGCATCACATATACAGCCACAACACAACGCACAGGTTATTACACATACAGACACACAACACAGGCTATTCTATATATACATACTTACACACAGGGCATTACACATACACCCACACGGCACCCCGCACCATCTCTATGTCCCCCTCAATTACCTGCTGGCCAGGGCCTGACACTTGAGATTATGCATGAGGTCCCATGCATAGTTATTTCAGCTCAGGCTGCACGAAGGGGACCTGCAGCACAGCAAGCTGCTGGGACCCCTCCCGTTGTCTGCCAGTCCACCGCAGGGCCTCCCCTGTATTGTGGCGTCTGCACAATTATGGTGTTCTATTATTCCATCGGACCCGTGACTTTATCGGATCGGATTAAAGTTACGGGTCTGATGGAATGATAGAACACTGGGACAGACCACGGGGCACACCGCAGCCATACAACCTAACCGAATACCCTCTACGTGGCACACTCACCCACTGCTATCACGGCTCTGTAAAAGCAAAACTACAGTTGCCATAATCCTTGGTGCACAGACAGGAAGTTAGGCTGTCAGCAGGAAATAAGGATGGACCGTAGAAAAGATGGCTGCCATCATACAGCCATCTTTTAATATGGGAAGGTGCACAGCTGTGAGAAGCAGTATATGGGTAAGCAATCTGGGATCCCTCCAGGAGTTGGGCACTCGGTCCATGACCGAGTGCCTGACTCATGGGCTTCATTTCCACTCGCCCCCACGCAATTTTCACTTGCAAACTGCGAGGGGGCGAGTGGAAATTTTGAGCCCTGATCTAGTTATTTGGGGCATTAAATGATATCTGGCAAATACATTATTTGTTATGGGTTGTTTATTTTAGTGGTAGGTCACGATGCCAGGACAAGGTCATCCAGTGCCCAGGGTGAAAATGCCAGACTTCACTAGGGAAGTTGCGTGCCAAAACATTGTGTCCTGTAGTGATCAGCACTACAGACCAGACCAGGAAATCAACACTTCTTTCTACTGCAGCCATTAGAAGTGGCAAGTATCTAATTCTTTATAGTGAGCTTTTTATTGCAGGTATAAGATTTAGTGACAGAGTTGCTTTAAGGTGTTTTTTTAAAGTAATATCAAGCTTCTTTCAATAATAAATACACATGAAACAAATACACATTGCCCAGCAAAGTATTTCTTTAAATGTTTTGCCCAATCAGTTACAGTCCTCATGTTTCCAAATAGCTGGCGCCAACTCTCTCGGCTCAGCTTCCCTGAACCTCCTGTCTATTACAAGATCCAGAGGGACAGCACAGACTCCAACAACTGTCCATCTGCTAGCTTGGAGGAGGGAGGAGCGGGATGGCTTGATCCCGATCTTAAAGCTGTCAGTGCCAGCTTAGTCACTGTGCCCTGTGCACACTTCCAGCAAAGAACAATGGGCGTATACATGTGGAGACCGGGCATTAAAGGCCACCTTCTTGCAGCCACATACATACGGTATGTGAGCTAGTTGAGGGCTGGCTGGTTGGTTAAAGTGATACAACACATATGATATACACACACACACACACACCCCCACCCCCCCCCCCCCCCCCCCCCATAAACAGATGGGGGAATTTATGAAAACTGGAGCAGTCAGAATCTGGAGCAGTTTCCCGTGGCAACCAATCCGCTTCCATCATTTTAAAAGCCTGAACCAACTGGAGAAGCTGATTAGTTGCTATGAGCAACTGCTCCAGATCCTGCCCGCTCCCGTTTTGATAAATTTCCCCCATAGAATATTAAAAGAAATAAACATAATCACCGCAGATACACTCTAAATAGAGAGAAAACTTTTTTTAAGCAAATCTTACCAAAGCAGCAAACTGAGCCAAATGAGGAGTTGAGGATTTAGTGACATTCAGCCAAAAGCTAATTTGCTGTGAAATCTGTCTAACCGGAAACACTCTGCTCATCCCTACTACTGAGGTAGAACCATGCATAACTGCAGGTGCTGGAAGTTAGAGATCAGGGTAGGCAACCATGGCACTTCAGCTGTGTTGAAACTACAAATACCTTCATGCCTCTGCCTCTGAAACTCATGCAGGTAGCTGTCAGACTCTTGCAATGCCTCATGGGACTTGTAGTCCCACAACAGTGGGTGTGCCCAGGTTGCCTACCCCTGGTATAGGTTTATATAGAAGGGGTAGTGGAGTGAAGATTGGATTCACCAGTGGCAGTATCAGTATTATCAAAGTACATATACAGCTCGTGCACACAGAAGTTGTACATTGAGCCCCCTCCGCCTGACTCAGCCCCGCCTCCCTATCCGTCACAGGGTACACATTGCCATCTTGTAGCCGCCCATCGCCTACGCCAGCCCCGCCTCCCTGTCCTTCGCACAGCACCCGTTGTCCCCGCCCCTCGCCAGCCCCGGATCTGGTGTATACTCGGAGCTCCCGGAAGGAAGCGTCTCAGCTCAGCTGAGGCCGGGGAGCAGCCCAGACGGAAGGAATGTGTAATGAGGCGCTCGGTGTCCCGGCTGGTGTTGCTCTGCTTGGTGTGTGGCTTCTGTTCGCTCCTGTACGCCCTCTCACAGAGGGGGAGCGGAGACACCGAGGCGCAGCAGCCGCTCATCTCATCCCCTCGGTGGCGGGCAGAGCAGCCGCAGAGACTCAGGTATATAGACACGTGATCAGCTGAGTCACCTGCCTGTGCATGTACGCCCCGTCGTTCCGAGTGATGGCTGTGATACAGAGGCTTGGAATCATGGCAATGTGTGTACATAGGAAGGGATATCATGGTGTGACTACAAATGAAGATGATAACACACTCCTTTATTATGTTGACACTCATGTAACTTCTGGGCAAACTGATCACTGCCAAAGGATTTCTATTTCTGTCCACCCAGTCCTGACATTTACACAGCTCTGCCACACAACACACTCTTGTCTGTCACATGTCTAGTCCTTCCCCCACCCTTCCGTTTGTCACTCTGCCCTCCCCTCCTATCAGCATGCCCCTTAATAGTAGTTGAGCACTGCAGCACAACTGATTTGGTTCTTTGCGCTGCTTCTCGCTCTCCCAGTCTGCTGTAGAGGGACTGCAAGAGGTTGCTGCAAAATCCCTCCGCACTGCAAACTCTCAGTCCCTCACTTCTACCCCTTCATTGTAAAGCAGTACTGTAGTACCAGAGTAATAACTAGGGTTAAAGGTAAATGTAAACGGTTATTCTGTCTTGGATGCAGCTAAGATGGTTTAGATCAGGAGTGGGCAAACTCTGGCCCTCTAGCTGTTGTTAAACTACGAATCCCATGAGGCATTGCAAGATTCTCACAGCCACAGGTATGACTCAGAGACAGATGCATCATGGGACTTGTAGTTTCACCATCGCTGGAGGGCTGGAGTTTGACTACCCCTGGTCTAGTCTTTCAGCAGGTTTAGATCCTCTATTAGGTTTTTATTGCTGCATTTTTTAACTGACTTTGTGTGCCGGAAACGAGGGGACATCTTTCCGGTGACTCTATCACTTCAATCAAACTCTCAGTCCCCGTTCACACCTTTTGTGTTCCATGAACACGGGTCATGTGCATGCTTTGACGTGTATTGATGGCCTGTGTCAAATGTGCACTGCGCTTGCAGCCGCATTACTTGTTGCAGGCACCTCAAATGTGGCCGGGAAAAAAAGTGAGAAGATCGCAGATGAAAATGCTGCATGAGCTTCTTTGCCACGTTTGTCGCATGCGTGGCAGCCCATTGGCGTGAATGGGTGATGCGTGGCAAAAACTGAGCGCAGACAATGCACATTCCTGGTACGCCAAGGTGTGAACGGGGCCTTAAAGGCTGATTCACACCAGATGTCACAGCCTCAATCCACTGATGTGGCAGTAGCATTGTTTTCAATCATCTCAGTTCATACCACCAGGTTTTGGTGGTGCGCACTGAAAAAAAAAAAGCACAGCGTGCAGTATTTCTTTCAGCGCAGTGTGGTGTGCTGTGACTGTAAAAGTGAAAACATTGTCATTTGTGACATTTCAATAAAGTATTAAAAAAAAAAAAGTAAACTGTGATGCTGAGGCATTTTACTTTTTTTTTTAAAACTTTATTTGGAGTGTATAAAGTGTACACCCCATTCAGTTTTTTGGTGTGCTGTCCTTGTGTACCATCCAGTGTACTAGATAAATACCAATAGCTGCGCTAGGAGTATAATTGTGTTCCAACCAATAGACCAGCTGCAATTATAAAAATTAGCACCATCCAGTGCACTGTGGAAAAAATACAGCACACCGCACTAGATGCAACAGTTAATTGATTAAGTCGATTAAAATCGACGATCGAAAACGTTGTCGACATTTTCGATCGTCGATTCGTCGGCTATTGATTCATTAGCCTGTTCGGGGCTCCACACATGGCCTGAGCCGCACGCACGTCACACGCTGTTCCCGCTGCGCCCAGGACGCTGAGGCCATGCCCACCGCACAGGACGCTGAAGCCGCGCACGCCGCTGCTGTGAGCTCCCTCACTCGCCGCTGGCCCGCCGACAATCGAGGGCCCACGATTTGAAAGTAGGTCAGGACCCCTTGAACTGTACCCCTCCACCCACAAACATCCGCTAGGGAACTACAAATACAAGCATGCCATCACTGTCCCTGTACAACCCCCCCCCC